TTCTCCCGTTGCCTTTGATCATATTGCTCCTCATTTCTCCTCCGTCAGCCGACATGGTCCTCAAGTGCGAATTCTCTTTGTCACGTCTCATGTTCCAGCCGCCGTAATTAGAACGTGTTGTCCAGGAGTGTTCAAACGAGACAGCACCGTCTTTTTCGACAATACTGTCAGCTGCAAAAGCTGATATTGACGTTTCCATCTGAATGCCCTTTCTTGCCAAGAGTAACGCCTAAGATCGTTCATGTGTCTTCAGGTGCCTCCATCGATGCTGCAGCACTGCATCTCAGAGCACATGTATCAGACTCGCAGTGTATGAGAACGTTTGCCTCGCCGCCTATCGTCACCTTGACCAGGTAGGGGGTGAAGGTCTGGGGATGGACCTTCCTTCAAAACATTGCCAACCTGCGCCGTAAACCGGATAATGCACACATGCAGTCTAACCAATATTCGTCATAACATATGTTATATGTTCTTTCTTTCGTGAAGAGCAAGAAATCTAGGTTTCCGATGTTTGCGATCAGCTTTACATTACCAGACGGTCCCAAACTCACGCGATGGTTCGTCAAGGGCTACCTCTTACGCTCCGAAAGCATTGCGCTCGGCGCACAGGAACCCGACACCAACACCAAGAAGCCACTAAAGGAAACATTGCAGCCTCTGTTGAATGCCGTCGCCCGTGTCTTCGGGTTCGCGTGTCCAGAGTTGGTGAATGTCAGCTCTGAGCGCGTGGAAACATAACGGGCCGTCTCCAGTTCCCCAAGTGAGCGTTAGGATTTCCATGGGCCGCGCGAGTCCCGCGGGCCGTGCGAACCCAGCCAGCCCCATGAACCCCACAAGTTCCACAAAGGGCTTCATGGGCCGAACGTGCGCCGCAGCGCGCATAAGCCCAACGCGCCGCGCTGGCCCAGCATGCCGCGCGGGCACCATTGGCTCCCTGACTCGTCAGGGCCACATCTGGTTTCTGAGCCTTGGAAACCCCGCGGGCCATGGGAGCCCCGTGGGCCTCAGGGGCGCCATGAGCTGCATGGGACGTTTCCCTATCATGGAAGCACCGTGGCTTGCAAAGTCGGAGAGCAATGCGAGCCATCTCAAGCTTTCTTGGCTTCGTTGGGTCGCTCAGCCCCCACAGGGAAAGCGCTCCGAACTTTTCCAGTGGCGTCTTGGTGCTGGTGCCGGCTTTTTGTTCCCTGCAACATCAAAAAGCCGACACCAGCACCAAGACCCCCACTGGAACGGCGGCCCCATGTGCGAGCTGAACCCCTCGACGATTTCGGAAGGTTGCCACGGGCTGCGGGCTTGGGTCAAGAGGGGGCCACGGTCTTATGCCCAGGCCGCGACGGGCGGCCACCGCCCCCTTTCGCAGAGAGCGGCGGATTCGAACTCGTCGGGCCTTGGTGTCGGGCCAGACGAGGGTCAGGGATGCGACGCGGGCGGACATAGGGTGGGTGAGGCGTGGGGGGAATGAGAGGGGGGCGGGCGGGCGGGGGTAGGCGTGGTGGAGGGCGGCGGTGGGGGGAGTGAAGCTTCAGCCATGGGGGATGCCGCAGCCTTCCCTCTTCTCTCCCTCTTCTGACGAGAGCGCCCGCTAGTTTCGCTTCTCGCTTGCACTTGTTATTTCCTGCTTTCCCTCCTGCGTGCTGCGCGACGTCTCCCTTCCCCCGTCCTCCTCGCCCACTCTGCGATTCCTCAAACCAGGGCGGGCTCGCGCTGGTCCAAAACGCAATTCGACATTTCGTGAAACAAATACTTTCTTGGTGCTGGTGTCGGCTTTTTGTTCTCCCATGCGCGGCAATTCGATCGAAAAGGTTCCATGCACAAGTAACGGCTCAAACACGTCCATCCCTCTAGCGCTTGTCCTCAGAAGCTGGCATCCACACCGTAGTGCATCGGCCTCCTCGTCGTCCTCGTCAGCGTCTTTCTCTCCTGTCCCTTACCCGTCGATATCCATGTGTGTGCGCGTGTGTGTGCGTGTGCGCGTGTGCGTGTGCGCGCGCGTGTGTATGCGCGCGATTGTGTGTGTGTGTGTATGTGTGTGTGTGTGCGCGCGAGTGTGTGTGTGTGTGTGTGCGCGTGTGCGCGATATTGTTTGTGTGTGTGTGTGTGTGTCACTTCTCTTCGCGCGCTAACCCTTTGCCCCTCTGGCTGCCTCCCCCCGCGCCGTGGCCCCCCGAGCCCTCCCCCCTCAGCTGCCCTGCGGAAGCGCCGCCTCCCGGTGACCCTATGGGTAAGGCAACCTCCACGCCCTCGTGTGTGCGCGTGGGTGTGCTCTCCGTCGCCCCGAGTCAGAGCGTGGATTGCCTACCCCGCTTTCGCTTCCAGGCAAAGCCAGGTCATGCCACGCGCCTCCCCGTGGAGCGGCCCGACAGGTACAGGCCGTGGTTTTTGGCATCGCCTGGCATCTCTTGGAAGCGAGGGTGGTCAAAACCGAGGTAGGTTTGTTTTCCCCCGACCCAGAGCTCTCCATGGGGGCGCGCCTGAGCCAGAGAAGAGCTCGGCGGAACTCCGGCCGCGGCGGCGAGAGGCCTCCCAGAGAGGCAGCCCCGGGGCATCCCCGAAGCGTCGCCGAGGCATCGCAGAGGCATCGCCGATGCGTCTTCCTCCTCCTCCTCCTCCTCCGCCGTCGTCGCCTCCTCTTCCTCCTCCTCCTCTTCCTCGTCCTCCTCCTCCGCCGTCGCCTCCTCCTCCTCCTCCTCCTCCTCCTCCTCCTCCTCCTCCTCCTCCTCCTCCTCCTCCTCCTCCTCCTCCTCCTCCTCCTCCTCCTCCTCCTCCTCCTCCTCCTCCTCCTCCTCCTCCTCCTTTTCCTCCCCTGCTCATCACCCCGCCTGGAACCGCGAGGATTCGCTGACGGGGGCGCATCGCCGATTTGTCGGCGAGCGCGATCCTCCGACCCCACCCGCTCCGACCCGAACCTGGGAGGCCTCTCTCTCTCTCTCTCAAGTGGGGCGCGTCCGAAGCCAGCAACAAGGCGAGCTTGGCGGAGCTCTCCGGCCGTCGGCGGCGAGGGGCCGCTCCCCAAAGAGGTCCGGGGGACGTTCACATGGACCACCTCTCTCGCCGAGCCTGGCCCGGCCCTCTCTTGGGGCCCTGGGAGCGGGGTGACCACCTCGCCGATACTGGCCGACCCCTGTCCCAGGGCCAGTATCGGCGTATACGCTCAGGTCGGGCATATCCTCCTGAAGGAGGGTCGTGGCAGAAACATCGAGCACAGACACAACAGATCCAAGCTAGTCAGAGAGGCAGGGCAAATTGTCACCAGACTATGCCTGGCTTCAGTACAGTCGACCCATATAGTGAGGATGCGCGATAAGGGCGCAAAGGCTTTGGAGGGCCACGTCGAAGCTCTTCGAGCGGAGCGCGGCCAACGACAGTGGCCAAGGACGGGCCGAGGAGGCAAGGATGCAAAGGGTACCCTTGGCAAGGATGCCCATCCTTCCTATGCGGGCCGACTGCACACGCCCCTGTGGCTCGGCGAGTGGACGTCCCCCGAGTGCATCGTTCCGCTCACCGGCTGCGCAATAACACGCGCGTGTATCAGCAGCGCTTGCTTCCCACGGGAAGTGCAATCCTCCAGCCAAGGTTGGTTATTTCGTGACTTGCATTGGCGGGGGACGTTCCAGTTGCGATGGGCATGCTCGACTACACGTAAGAGTGACTCTTTGCCAGAGTGACCTTCGGTGCGGGCTCACCGGGGTGCCTTCGATCGCTGAGCGCGATGCGTTAATGGCTGCTTGCGCGCTTGGATTTTGCTACCTTGCCTCCTCTTAATCCGCGCACTAAACGGTCACTCGTGCCTAGGGTCATTCTTGCGTATAGCCCAATTGTTACCATCAGCGCTAGGAGGGGCGGTCGCTGCATGCCTGCGCAAGCACATGCCCTCGCTGGGATGTACGTGATAACCTTCTGGGAGCAGAGTGGCGGAAGAGACGCGACGGCCGTCCTCCCCCTCTCTGCGAGGCGGACAGGGGCAGTTTGGAGAGCTTCCTTCGGTCACCAAGGTTGATGAGTCACCGCCAGCACATGGTCCCAAGATCAAGCATACAGCAGTGAGACGCGCATCAGCAGGTCCAGCACAGACTCAGTGTGTGGTTCGAGCACATGCAACCCCGAAGAGCACCGCCCTCGCGCACGCGAGGCTGCAGATGTGCTCTTCCGGCCCGCCAGTGCATCAGCCGCTTGAGGCCGGGGGCAGCCCGCGGCGTTTTTCCGCCCGGGCGGTGCGTGGGCCGCCGGCTCCCAGGCGCGGGCGCAGGGGCTGCTCCACCACGCACGGTGGGTTCGTGCGGCGATGGCGCGCGGGCGGCGCCAGCAAAGGCGGTCAAGGACGAGCTCCGCATGATCAAGTGACGCGGAAGCACCGCAGGGGGGAGCGGCAACGCCACAGGGCCCGACGGAGTTCAACCCTGAACGAACGGGGCCGCGACCGGTTCAGGGTTGAACGATCGACGCGTTGTCAAGGTTTTCTGCGCGCGCCGACGCCGCACGAACCTGCCGTACCTTAGCTCGTTGCTGATCTTCATGACTCTCTCAGTTTCTGAGGGTACATCCCTAAGATTGTCATCGCCTTGGGCTTGCCGATCTTTGGGACGTGGATGAGTCTGAGGCTAGTAATTTCCCGCTCGCGCGGTGCGTGTGCTGGCTGCTGCCGGGCGCGGGCGCAGAGGCTGCGACGAGCGATGGGGGGAAGTGAGAACGAGAAGGCCTTCTCAGAAGGCGGCGGGACTTCTCAGAAGCCCTTTCTCCATCTCCTCCCTCTCTTCCTCCTCTTCCTCCTCCTCCTCCTCCTCCTCCTCCTCCTCCTCCTCCTCCTCCTCCTCCTCCTCCTCCTCCTCCTCCTCCCCCTCGTCGTCGTCCTCCTCCTCCGAGACAGACGGAGAGAGCGAGGTGCAGTTGGGACTGTCCGAGCCCGCGCCCACCGTCACTCACCACCACATGAGCGCGTGCGGCGAGCCGCCCCCCCCGCAGCCGCCGGCCCCTCCTCGTCCTCCTGGGAGGGCCATCCAAGCCTTTGGTTGTATGTTGTTCGGAGTGTCCCTGGCCCAAGGTGCCCCCAGGATTCTCGGGGCGACCCAGGAGCCACCAGAGCACCCCTCACGAGGCCCAGAGGGCCCCAGGGGCTTCCAAGGTGGAGCGGAAAACTGGGGGTATCTTGGGGCAGGGGCACTTCCAGCAACACCCGACGCCCGGCCTTGCGACCGGGGCGCTTCGGGGGCGTCCAGAGAGAGAGGGTGATCGGACGGGGCTGGGATGAGGATAAATCGGTTCCAGTGCGTTCTGGAACGCTCTCAGAGTGTTCCAGAACGCACTGAGGAGGCCGCGGCGCCCGAGACATCCTCCAGAGCCGCCAGATCTCAGAGATTCTCGATTTGTACTCGCCCGAATCCATCCTCGTCTTGGCTTCGTGTTCGGTGATGGCACGAGTGTGGGTGGATCTCATGGCCAGAGCCATGGTATCTCCTCGGATTTCCTAGTCCCTCTTCTTGATTCAGGACGTCTTTTGCGACCAGGGCGTTGTGCGGGGGCCCCCAATGGGTGCGGTGCCCACACCGTATGGTGAGTCGGCAGGTCTTCGGGATCACGGCATGGTTTTGTGACTTGGATCGTTCATTCTCCGAGGGCACCTCGGGCGACAGGGGCCTCCAGTATCCCAAGACCGTGCAGTGATGGACCGTGCGGTGAGGCCGTTTGGGACTCCGAGGTCACAACGCGGTCTGTCACCGCACGGTTTTGGGACCCCCAACCCTTGCGACCGGCGCGTTGCTAAGCAGGGCTTTGCCGCATCTGCGGGATTAAACAAAGGAAGGGGAACGTTTCGACCCACAGTTAGGAGTGTTCTCGGGCGCGCCAATGTTCTGGGTAATTAACGAAGGGCCCCGTCTGTGAGGCCTGAGAGGACATGAGAGGGAGTCGGATGAAGAGAGTCTTCGTCCTCCTGATCGCCGTCGTTGGCGCCGCCACCGTCTTCGCCGTCGCCGTCCTTGCTGATGTTGTTTCTGTCTAGGATGTGAGGTTATGTTTCCCTCGCGCCGTCCTCATCATAACAGAAATCGTCGTGTACATGAATAGTCGGGGGTCCGCACGGATTTCTTGTGCTGGCACCGTACCCCCCTGGCGGCGCCCGACGCCTTCTAGCGCCGCCCCTGGCGCGCTTCGCACACTAGGGGTCGGGGGGGCGGCTGCAACTCCGACCCTACATTACCCTTCGTAGTTTAGTATTGATGCAGTATCCTTTCTTTATAGTGGTTGTTCGGTCCTCCTCCTCCTCCTTCTCCTCCATTCCTTTTCCTTTTAAATAACTCTCCCTGTCACACCCCGAGGCCAGTTTTTGGGCGGGCCGGGCGTTTCGCCTGAGACTTCCTCACCACGTACGACTCTGAAGTTTAAAGTTTGGCAGAAGTTTGACAGATGGAGGGCGGGTGGTTTTCAAAATGAGGCTCTCGCTTTAGCGCGGCGCACGTTCTTTTTAAACATTGGCAAGAGTTTCACGGATTGATGGCGGGTGATTTTCAAAGTGTTGTTCTCGCTTTAGCGCGGCGCGCATTCTTTTAAACATATTGCAAGAGTTTCACGGATTGAGGGCGCGTGGTTTTGAAAATGTGGTTCTCGCCTTCGCCCGGCGCACATTCGTTTTAACAATTTGCAAGAGTTTCACGGGTTGCGGGCGGGTCGTTTTCGAAATGTAAGTCTCGCTTTAGCGCGGCGCACATTCGTTCAGCAAAGATGCAAGAGATTCACGGATTCAGGGCGTTTTTTTTTCAACATGTATCTCTCGATTTAGCGTTGCGCACATCCGTTTACACAGTTATCAAAAGTTCCACGGACTCACATCATCAACGTACCAGAAATGGTATTTTGGACGGATGAAGGAATACGTGGGCGCAACAGTTACGTTGATATTCTGTGTTGAAGTCCTAGGAATGGTTTTTTCCCACGATTCTGGATCGTCAAGGCGCAACAGTCAGGTTGATCCACGGCGTTGGACTCCCGAGAACAATGTTTTGGCATGCTGCAGGGTCTTTAAACGGGTGTCTTCCAACGAGGCAGTTCTTTCAATGGCAATGAACCGTTGTAGGGTCCTACGACGAGGGAGCTTTGAGGGACGGTTTGCTCCAACATCGTTGATGACCCTTGGGTTTACATTTTCTCTCCTCCTCCTCCTCCTCCTCCAATCCCGACCTTGCGCTGCTGAAAGTTGACGCTTTCGCAGCTTCTCTTTCTGGAATCGTTGTCCGTTGTGTTTCCTCCTCCTCCTCGTTCCTCCTCCTCATTTCGCCATGTCGCCCAGTCGCGCGGCTACATGGCCCACACACTTGTTCACTGTAGCTTCTTTTCCTTTACATGCAACACGTTGCATCTACATGGCAGTCTGCCTGTTGGCCATTCTTCGCGCATTCTCGCCATGCGTCTTCCTCTGACGGCGGGGCAGCACAGTCCGCTGCACGCGCGTGCGGTCGACCGCCTGGGAGATATCTTTTTCAGGACGGCCAACTGAAACGCTTCTGCTTACCGGGGACCAAGAAGAAGGTGGCGCTGGGCACTCAGTTGCGTCGGCCATTTGTTACCCCGAGGAGTGCACCACATTTGGTGGTGCGGCACGCCAGAACAGTATTTGAGGAAACTTGAGCAAACTCAAGGATGTACCCCCCCAGCCAAAATTGCGACAAGCAAGGCGCCAGTTGGTGACATTTCAGTTGTCACGCTGGTGAGAAAAGATACTACCCTTGATCATCGCCCAAAGGCCGACAAAGTATGCTGTGCCTTGCAGGACCTCTTCCAGCGGCGCTGCCGCAGCGAAAGAAAACTTGCCCCCCGTCCACAACAGGTACAGGACCTGTCCCAGGCGCGCGCGCCCGACCCGCGTTCGTCATTGAGGCGGGGTGGGTAGCTTCCCCGTTTGTAACTGTTTCCGGTGGTTGTTCGATTGTCGGGGGTTTTCAGGCCACGGCAGATCACGCTATCCAGCGTGAGCCCGCACCACCGCCACTTCAGTGTCGTGGGCCATTGTCGCGCGCGGAGCCAGGCGTCTCGGACATTGCGGCAATCTTCCTTTTCATTCGTCCACGGCCTACCAAGGTGGCAGCTCTTGCGAAGTATGAGATGACTGGCTAAGTCTTCGAAGTGGCTGGAGGCAAACTTGCTCGGCTGCCAGCTCGCCCGACACCGACTATTGAAGCAGATCTTAACGACAGAGTGGGCTTGGTACAGTGCGACGGTGAGTGGAACTTGATGTCGTTCTTCCTGAGGCGGCGGCTAACAGTCATCTTGCGCGTGGTGAGTCTGCTCAGATGCTGATCGTCGCACCATAGGCGTGCTGACTGCGGATGCGTATCGCGTTTGTTCGTCATTGTTATTTGGGCCGAGAGGTGGGGAGTCGATTTGTAGATATGATTGGTATCTCCAGAGATTTGATTGCGGCTTTGACCAGTGCTGGATATTTCTCGCGGTGGAGCCGCGAGCTACAATTCCTTCGTGCTCAGCGCGTGGCGGGTCGTGCACTTGTTCATGCGGCGTGTCCGCATGTGTTTTTTTCGCGGAGGTCCGTGTCACGTGGCACCAAAGTGGATTTTCTGGAACATGGATTTGTTGATGCGACAAGTTTGGGGAGAGGCGCTCGTCGGGAGTTTCGTCAGTCGGTCGAAGCTCGCTTACCTCGTGAGAAGGAGGTGGTTTCCATATCGCAATGGTTCCACACTGATGCTCATTTGTTCGACTCTATTAACAAAATAATGAAGGAGGAGGGTGTCGATCATAATCCTACTCGGGCCGCGCAGTCCCAGAGGAGGAGCCCACAGGCGGAGTAGACGACGTGAACTTCAATCGGGTTTAGCTGACTCTCGCGCGGTCGATGAGGCGGAGGCATTGAAGGAGGAACTCAGGGAGGCTTGTCGGATCTGCAGTGCACGCTGCGATCGCTCGCGAGCGTCGCCGTCACCAGAATGCGCTGGCGGAGGAGGCGTGGCAGATGCGGGGACATCGTAGGTTAGCAGTGGCCGCGCGTATCCCTCGTCGCGCTGATGGCTCTCGCTCTGGTTCAGAAGAGGTACGAATATGGACCATGTCGGAGAGTAGTTGGGTCTGGTGAAGAGCTCAATCGGCAGTTATCTCGAGGAAGCCCGCAGGGGTGATACCCGCTGAAGGTGTTGGATTGGGGCGACGATCGACAATCTGGGATCGAGGAGGTTTTTGTTCTTCTACTTACCCTTCAACGCCATCGTCTGGATGCGGGCCGGGATCTCCGAAGGGTTCGCGATGGGTTCCGACGGGCTGGCAAACGTAGAGCCCGGTACGTGAGGCACTTGGTCTGTTTCGCGGGGATTTTCAATTTCTCTCGTTGAGTACATACGCGGGCGATCTGATTAAGGAGGTGGTTGGGGGAAGAATTGCGTCGGTGGCGGAACTCGTGTTTCTCATCCAAAAATCGCATAGGGACTTAGATGCGGACACATTGGTTTCTCTACATGGAAGGGGTGTTGGCGCAGAGTTTTATCATCGTCGGATGAAAGTCTATTCGTCCCCTGGGGCTCATTCCGTGTTCGGAGTCTTTTGGGAATTCGAAGAATGCCAGGGCTCGTTTTGGGCCAGGAGTGATATCCCGCCCGGGAGCGATGCGATCTGGATGGCGCGGCATGTTTCACATCGTCTGCCTAGGGCCATGTGTATCCGTGAGAATTACAATGCTTCCTCGTCGGGGGTTGAAGCATGGGCCCCCCACGAGCCGAGCGATGCATCGGCCATCCTCATCAGAATCTGCATGCGAACGTCGAGCAAGGCGCGGGCTGGCGTGTTACATGGAGATTGCCTGTCATCAGCGTACCATGTTTCTTGCTGACGTTTACCGTTGACGGCGTTTTCCGCCACTCGAGGTGGAGGCTCGCGCACGTGAGCTTGGGTGGCTGCAAGAGCTGGCGCCGCGGCGTTTGTCTTCCCTGTAGTGGGGGCTGTTTTTTGCGTTCTGATACTGCGCTGAGCGGCAAGCTCGCGCGGAGTTCGAATCCGCGGTCCAAGGTGTCTTTTGGGGGGCATGGGGGGGGTAACAACGTCGGGGCGGGGGTATTTTATGCGAGGGTTTGGGTGAGACGTCAAGTTTCTGTTCGCGGACGAGTGCTGTCGGGACTTGTTTTGGATGTTGACATGCGAGAGGTCGGTCATCAGGTCCTGTCTGCGTCCATCCTGCCCGCGGGCGCGCGCGCCGCTGCCCCCGCGCAGAAGGCGAATGCTGGGCGCATGGTGCTCATGGAGGGTTCGTATGCGTTTTGCCTGATGTGTGAGGAGTGCCGCGACGTTCGTTCCCGTCGTCAAAGTCTGGGATCCATGCGCGCACTACTGCGCGCCGCGGTGTGATAACGTTGAGACACCTGCTGGACATCGCCAGTCAGTGCCTTGTATGCGTCGTGCGCGCTGGTGTTTTGGGCGGTCTTGCCGACTTTGATGGCGCGGGTCTTGTTTCCAGGCTGCGAGGGCATCTGCTCATTCACCTGTCTACTGTTACACCTGCTGCCCCGCCAGATCGCCCTGCCCGCTCGCGCCGCGCCCGTTCGAGGGGCGGTTTCGGAGCCAGCTCGGGCGATCAGGCGCAAGGGCGCACTGGAGCAGGCGGAGAAAGATTAAGGCGAAACAACTACAGGTGGCGCAGGCGGCTCGTTCATAGGCGAATGGGGGTAGCGCCCTGGTGGCTTGCGTCAAGGCGGTGACAAAGCTTGCGCAGGCGAGTTCCGCAGACATCCGCGATCTTTGGGAGATCTCGCGGCGCCGGATCAGGTCGTTGGAGAGGCGGCGAAGGAAGCGGGAGCCCGTAACCACCGGGAGGTTCGGCGGAGGATGGAGGCTTCGGAGGGCGCGAACGGTTTGGGCCTTGTCTTTTCCACACATTGTCGTAGCGTTGCTGACGCTATGGGCACAGACCCGAGCTGTCCAGAGTCGTCGAACACCGAAATCGAGAAATGGTTGAAAGAAAAGGTGACTCCTCCCGATCGCCACTGTCGTGTTCGGCCCACTCGCGCAGTCGAGCGGAAGGGGGAGAAGCTTAGGATCTTTTTTCTGCGTGGTCAACCCGCTTCCTTGGCTCGAGTGTGCGGCGGCGGTTTGCTTCACAATACCCACGTAGGAGGACAGAGGGAAGCAAGAGCGGCCCCGAGGGGCGCGCTGGAGAGGGAGGCGGCCAAGTTGTTTGAAAACTTCGACAAGCAGTAAACAGGGATCTAGATAAATGTATTACTCCTTCTCGCGGGAAGTGAACGAGTTCGGAGTTTCATGGAACGTGGCGGTGCGAGGGTCGCTGCTGCTCTGAGTGAGGCTGCCGCCGCCGCCGCTAGTGGTGCAATGTCCTCCCGGGCCCGCCCTCCCAGCTCCAACTCTCCCCAGGCAGTTTTGTTGACGGGAGTTCCGTGGCATGAGTCTAAGCAGTTTGTGATTGTTTCCTTCAGGATGCCTTCCAGACGAGCCCCACAACGACGGGCAAGTACCGCTGCTTGTGGATTTGGTTGTCGCCTGCTGTCTGCTCTGAGTGGCTTGAAACTTTGAATGGTTCAGGCGACAATTAATCGTCGATTCCCAGGAAAATATGGGAAACTATGGGAAGTGGGGGGGAAGACAGAAACCCAGAACATATGGGAAAATATGGGGAAATATGGATCATCCTTTTATTTGTGTCTATCTATTTGTGTGTCCCAGGGCCCCTTCCATGGTGCCCGACCTCCCCTTCCGCTGGCCCCCCCCCGGCTTTGGGCGCGCTGTGGCCCGAGCGCCCCCCGCCTGCAGGGTCGGGCGGAAAGTTGCGGTCCGACCGCCACTGTGACTCAGGCGTCAAGTGTTTTTTTGTTGTTTTTCTTTTGTAATATATATATATATATATATATATATATTATATATATATATGTATATATTATGAAAGAAAAACTGTTTGGTTCGGGAGCCTCGATCACCCACGGATTCTCTCAGGGAGACAGAAAAGTGGCATGAACATAAAGACTCGGAGGTCCGCGCGGATTTCTCGGATCGGCGCTGGGCCCCCCTCCCTGGCGCGCGGAGCGCGCCAGGGGCGGCGCCGGAGGCGCCGCCGGGGGGCCCCGGCGCCGATCCGAAAAATCCGCGCGGACCTCCGAGTTTTGATGTTTGTGTCACTTCTTGTCCCCCTTTTTTTATCTGATTATATTCTCTTCCGCCTTCCCCCCCTCTGTGCTTTGCCCGCGTGCGTGGGTTGAGGGAGGCGGTCCCGGTGGGGGAGTGGGCAGAACGAGGAGGGAGGGGGAGAGGACCGCCGTTCCTGAGAAAAGAACTGGGGTGAAGACGGAACGGGGGGGGAGGGGGGGGGGGTCAGGTGGAGAAGAGGACCAACGGGGAGGAGGAGGAGGAGGGAGGAGGAGGAGGAGGAGGAGGAGGAGGAGGAGGAGGAGGAGGAGGAGGAGGAGAAGAAGACAGAGCGAGAGAGGGATACACAACCAGGTGAAATCAGGCGCTGCCAACGAGGCATCAGAAGGCCCCCCCCCCGATGGCAGCCGAGTTTCGCCAACACGGGCCCTCCCCGAGCTCAGCTGGACAAGGCTAAATCATGTAGCCCTCATATGGTGTGGCTTGTGTTGCCCCGTCAGTCACGGGCCGATGCCAGCACCGTAGCAAATGAAAGGGGTGGAAATGACATGTAGCTAATGGCGTTGGGCCCCAGCCTCTCTCTACACTGTGGGCCAAGGCTTGCCCGCTGCCAGTGTTCACGTGGATGCGTCGCCATCTTGGGGGGGGGAGCGCGATGCCATGCTGCTAGCTGTATTCCTAAAACAAGCGATTCATGAGGACGACGAGGTGTCGTGAGACAACCTTGGCTCACGACAGCCTCCTCATCATCCGCTTCCTCCTCCCGACTGTGGACCACCTCGCACGGATTTGCGTGGCAGCACTGTGCCATGGCAGCAGTGCGATCGCCCTTGGATCCGACTGTTCCTGGCCGTCGCCCGGCTTCTACAGGGCGCACGGGCAGAGTCCAGCGGCGCAGCCCTGAAGCAGCATCTGCAGACGCACGAGCTTCTCCACTTGGCATCGCTCGGACGTGTGCATTTTTCCTTCGGCGAGGACCATCGAGGAGCATCCTTTAGCATTTGGCGAAAAAACCACGCACGAAACCGAAAAAAGCACAGGGAACGGACGTCCGAGTGATGGCCAGTCCATGACACAAGTTTACCCGCTGATTTTCAGTTGGACGGTGCGCGTGCGCCGGAAGGCGTGCGCGTTGACGGGCGGAGTGTCAGTATCGTTTAGCCGATCCCCATCCCCATCCCCATCCGCATCTCGAGCCCCACTGCCTCACCACCCCAGTTGGGGATATGCCGCTCGAAACCCGAAGAGAGCAGCCTACAACCCCATCAGGGGGGTAAATCGGCCAGTGGGGCCCAGCCCACGCTGGTGGGGATGGGGATCGGTTAAACGATGCGCAGAGTGGGAGAATGAGAAGAATGTTGCGAGAGGAGGGCCCTCAACACTGGCCTTCGATGTGGTAGCCAGCCCGGCCAAGAGGTTCCAGGCCGCGGCCGAGCCTTCGTTCTCCGGAGCCGGACTGTGACCCGTTCTGGCTTGGTTGCAGGCTGGGCTGCCATTCGGAATCGTCCATTCGTCGCCGAGTCGAACTGCCACCCTCTTCTGCTGCCCCCCCCCCCCAAACGGTCGCCACTCACCAAAACACCCCAACCCAGCTCGAAGGCCCAAATTTGCCATCCTTTCCCAATCGGAGGAGGGGCCGGCGTCTGGGCACACTGAACACCGACACGTGGAGCCCGTGCCCCTCCCAGCCCGAAACTTGGGTCGTCGGGCTGGGTTGGGGTGGTCTGGTAGGTGGTCGCATCGGTTCCTGCCCCCCCCCTCTACTAAAACGACGCGAAGATCGGGACAAAATCGGATCGGGATAACTCGAAATCTCTGAGAATCGGCGGGTTTGGAGGATGTACTGGGCGCCGCGGCCGCTCCAGAGCGTTCCGGAACGCTCTGAGAGCGCTCCAGAACGCTCTGGAGCGATTTATCCCGATCCTAGCTCTGTTTTATCTACTTTTCTCCCGCCCGTCCTCTGGGCGCCTCGCGAGGCGACTCCCTCAGCCTGGAGTACGACGCGCTGTATTTGAAGAGCAAGCTGTATCTCAAGGCGGCCCGCCGCGCAGGGGCGGCCCGCGGCGCAGGGGCGGCCCGCGGCGCTGGAGGGCCTGGATGGCGGCGAGCAAGGTTGTGGCAGCGTGGGCGGCCTGCTCGGACTGGCGAGAGGCGGAGGAGCAGGGCACAGGGAGAGAGCAGTGAGGAGGAGGCGGATGAGGGGAATCAGCAGCCAGAGGAGCGGGGGGCCAGAGGAGAAGGAGGAGGGCGACGGCGAGGAGGAGAAGAAGGGAGTCGGGGGTCCTCTCTCTCTCTCTGCCCCCGCCCGTTCCTGCTCCTGGTTCTCCCTTCCCCCTCGTCCTCTTTCGCCATGCTCCCTCTTTGTTGTGTTCCTCCCCTACCTCTCTCCTCTTTCCCCTCCAATGCTCTTCCTTCCTTCCTCCTTCTCCTCCTATTCCTCTCTTTTCCCACTCCGTTTCCTCTTGTGCGGTCGGGTGGTCGACATCATGAACAGTTTGTGTTCAGTAGTGTGGTTGGCCTGTGCCCTCAAATGGTAGCGTGACTTTGCTCGGCGTTGGTGTACACTTATGGGGGAGGAGGGGGAGGAAGAGGCGGAGGAGGATGAGGAGGAGGCAGGAGGTACGAGGGAGAAGGGAGGAGGGAGGAGGTAGGAGGGAAGCGGAAGTGGAGGAGGTAGGAAGGAGGAGGAGGGAGGGGCATTTGGAGGAGGAGGAGGGGCAGAGTCATGGTTGTTGTTGTTGCTGTTGAGTTCGAATTCACGAAGAATGATTCTAATTATCTCCCCACCGGTGCATATTTCGCTGTTTCTATTAAAGTGCCCCCCCTTAGGGCTCGCACGCTGTTTTTTAATGAAATAAATATATTCGTGCACAAGCTGGGCTCCTGGCCCCGGGCTGCAACAACAATGGCTCCCGCTGGATACTTCGTCAACATGTATTCCAAAATCGCGCTCTCGCGCGGGACTTCCCATTTGTTATGCCAGAGTCGCGCATTCGCGTTGGATTTCCGGGCATTCTACTCAGACGCCGCGCCCTCGACTTTCATCAGTAATCACTATTTCTTTTTGATTTGTCTCACGTTTTTCTTGAGAATAGTGCTATCGCTCGAGACGTCCTCGCGATTCATGTAGGATCACGCTTCAGCACCCCGCCTGCTCGACCTGGCCGCCTGGGCCCGCCTTCCGACCCGCCCGCTAGGGTCTACCCGCCCGGTCCGCCCGTCTGGCTGGTTTTGCCATGTGCTTTCTGCTCCTAGCCCCCCTCACGCTAATTTCTCTCGCACCACATCCTTCTCGCTCCCTCTTCCATCCGTCTTCTTTTCTCCCGTGTTAAGAGCTGCGCTAAAAGCACGTGGCGGGTAAGGAAGGAGGCAGACCTCCAAGGGGGTAGGATCGGAGATGGAGAGGGCCGGTACCCAGGTCTTCCGATATACGTGTTGAATGGCCTTTCGTTCAGATCAGAGCGAACAGTCGTAACATGATTGGTGTTCTCGTTGTTGATGTTAATATCAAACTCGCATGACTGAAGAATAATAATAATAGTTGAGCCCCCCCCTCCGGGGCACATCGTATTTTTTAATTGAAGTGCCCTTTCCCGGGCTCGCACCTGGTGTTTCTCAGGGAAGTCTTGGGTCTCAGAATTGTGTCTTTGGCCCCCAGATTACATTAACAACGGCTTCCGCCCGATATTTCCTCACAACGGATTCCCAAATTGCGCTCTCGCGCGGGATTTCTTCGCACGTTATACAACGTTATGTAATATAGGAATCGCGCTTTCGCGTGGGGCTTCGTCGCAATTTCTTCAGACGCCGCACACTCGACACTGGTGAATCACGCTCTCGCCTTGATCGAAGACGAAGAGAGCGAGAATCGAATGTTTGGGTTATACGATGGTATACGTATTGAATGGCACGCGAGCGGATATGAGCAAACTGTCTTAGAGTTATTGTTGCTGTTGCTGTCGTCGTCGTTTTTGTTGCTGTCGTTATTGTTGTTGAACTCTCATTTCTGGAGAATAATTATTGTTGATCCTCCCCGTCTGGTGCACATTGTATTTTTTCAATTGAAGTGCCCCTCCCGGGGCTCGCATCCTGTTTTTATCAGGGAAAGTCTTGACGGTCAAACTGTGTCGTTGGCCCCCCGTTTACAACAACAACGGCTCCCGCCTGATTTTTCTTCACAATTTAGCCAGGACCCCCGATCCCGCCCGAGACTTCCTCGCATGTGATTCCGGAATCGCGCTCTCGCTTGGGACTTCCTTACAATTTATTTAGGAATCGCTCTCCAGGCGCTCTGGAGTCGCGCTCTCGCTGGAGATGTGCTTGCAATTTACTGACGAATAGCGCCTTTGCGTTGAAACTTTTTGCAATTTACTCCAGCGCCGCGCTCCCCACACTCAGGCACGATCGAAGACGAAGAGGACGGGTTACTGAGGGTTTGGTACATACGTTTTGAAGGGCACACCCACACCTACACCCAAACACGTTACAGAGCACGCGTGTGGGTGTGGATGTAGGTGTGTGTGTGTGTGAGTGAGTGTGGGAATGTGGGGACTTTGTGGGGTGTGTGGGGGTGTGTGGGTGTGGGTGTGGACGTGGGTTTGGGTGTGGGTGAGTACGTGCGTGTGTGCGTGGGTGGGTGGGTGGGGCGGGCCGGGGGGGGGGATATGGGGGACGTCCTAGGTGGCTCCAGACAAGGGGAGCGTTGCGGTGAGTACGGCCTTTTGCAAGGCATCTGATGCAAAATGACCGGAGATGGGCATTGCCTACTGCTGGTACCAACGCTCTCCCGCCTCTGTTGCAAATGGTCTGCAAATATTTGCCCGGGCTCGCTGTCCGATCGCGTCTCAGATGGTGATTCAGAGAAGAGGAGTCCTGCACCGAACATGACGCAAAAGTTAATGTTCGCAAGATTTAGGTAGCAAGGTTTCGATCGCTGTGGAAAAGTCCAGGCCAGGTGTGTAGACCTTCCGCGCCAGAGTGGGGAGCAGATTCCGGAGTGTCGCAAAGAGGCAGCGAGCAGCAGTTGTCCTGCAAGATGTTGGGGAGGAGGCATTGAGGTAAAGAGCGATAGGCCAGGGGCGCAGCAGAAGCGGGGTTGGAGGATGCGAACGTGCTGGAGAAGTTCATTTCTCCCCAGACTGGGCCCCCTCGCCTTTCTATCTCCACTGCACGGTTGCCGCTTGTGTGTTTTAATATGTAGCATGCGGTTGCTCTTATGGGCGTCTTGCCTCAGCCGAAGCTCTGACACAAGCAGCGAAGAGGGCATGGCTGCGGATTGGACAGAGCCTTCTATAAGCAAGCGAGATGGATGAGGACAAGAACGATGAATGAGTATGAGGAGGAGGAGGAGGAGGAGGAGGAGGAGGAGGAGGGGCAACAGTGGGAGAGGGAAACATGTATTGAGGAGTATGTGGGGACGAAGCAGTGCATCGACACTCTGGTGCTGGAGAGACAGCCTATTCGGGATGCTTGCTGCCCACTCGCATGTTCATGTTCATCTGCAGGCGTCGGGCTCATGGCAGGGTGCGGCAGGGTGCTTCACTTTCTCGGGGTTTCGTAGAGGGCCGTTTATTTGAAGGTCCCGTCAGGGAACGGACCCAGGTGTATGCTCACATGTCCTTCTTCCAGAAGCCGTGTAGGGCGATGTTCCTCTGACCCCATCTGAGGCCCTGTCCCACCTTTACGTTCCCCGATCCTCCCGCCCCCCACCTTCACCCCATTGTTCATGATTGCGTTGTGAGCACACGGTTGTTATCCCTGACATCTTTTGACAGGATATGCGAGGTGCCCCTAATTAAAGAGACCTCGGCCCATGCACGCTCAATCCTCACCGTCTTTGGCTCTTCGAAGTGGTGCCCATCAAGCCGAGGTTCTCACTTTATTTCTTGTCGCACGTGTCACATTAGTTTGCGTGCCTCGAATCACCGTGACGACATTCTTGTCAATTCCGTCTGGAGGTCGAACATTGATGACCCGTCTGTTTGTGGATTGCCAGCCGTTGTTTGCATTGTCGTTGTGGTTGAAGTTGTAATACACGGTTGCCCAGGTACACGCGAATTACGGACGATCACGTGCCCGTTGCCGGTCTGGCTGTTTTTTTTCTGACAATGCGTGTTGTTGAGATGCACGGGTTTGGGCGGTTGTTTTTGCATAGATGGTACCACCATTGTTCATTGCCATAGTGCGATCGCGTTGCCGCCAATCAGTATACGCCCATCGTCGCAAGACGCACGTTCACGTTTGAATTGATTTTGCACGTTTCATTTCGGAGGTCATTGGTGCCATATTGGGAAGGTTTGCATATATTTGTTCCGCATGTTTCAATCGTTCTGCGCGTGCTTGTGTGTTTCGGAGGTCTGGGGTGTGACTGCACGGACATATATTCCAACCCGGAAGTCGAGATTCGCGTTCGGGCGCTCGTTAGGCATCATGTCGTTCGAAGTTGCGCGTGTGGTGTCGGGCTATTCGGGACCAGGTTCAATGACGTGTCCAAAGGCTCAGGCTCATACTCAGGGCGTACCAATCGTGACTTGATCGTGAATCAAGTCTGAGACAGCTGTGTGTCAAATCTTTCTCAAGTGTGGCCCCCCCCACGAGCCGCTGGAAGCACGAGGAACCAGGGCGCAGGCAACGGGGGATCGGCGCTGGTCAGGGCCAGTCAATGCCGCGCGATCCCCTCTGGCTGGCCCAGGCTTCGGAGCCGGGTGTAGCCCGACCCCATCCGACCGGGCACTCCGAGGAAGTCTGCGCCAGTTCCCTCGACATCGGCAATCGAGTGCACCGGTGCAGTCCCCAGGTCAGTTTCTCTAATTGATGCGCGCTTCGCCAGATACATTCCCTTCTCTTTCGCTCCTCCTCCCCCGCCCTCGGCCCTGATGTCTTTTTTGTCATTGCGCGTTTTCAGGCATCTAGGGCGCATCGCGACGTGACGCTGCCAGTCGAGTTTTCTGAGAATGCGTTGGCTTTTCGGACGTCTGCCCCGCTGGGCTGCACTCGGGATGCGGTGCCGTGCGCACGTGGAGTGCCTCTGGCAGCTTTCACTACAGGTCGTCTTGCTCATGGGGGGTCCAGTCCGCACCGCCCACCAAGCCACCCCAGCCCAGCCCGAAGGCCCCGATGTGCCCTCCATTGCCAGTAGGGGGGGGTCAGGGAACATTGAAAAAACGCATGAGGCCCGTACCCCCCCTACCCGGAATTCGGGTCTTCGGGTTGGGTTGGGGTGATCGGGCAGGTAGTCATGTCCACCCCTGATCGATCCGATTCTACGTCGATTCTGGCCAGCCCGATGCGTCGTGATTCCGACTTTCCGTGCCGATCCGACGCGGCCCGATGTTCGCATGGCGTTCTCGTGCATCTTTGCGCAGCCGATGCGACTCGCCCCCGCCTCCGTGCCGACGCAGCTCGAACGTCGACGCTCGCTCCTCCTCGTACTCCTCCTCCTCCTCCTCCTCCTTCTCCTCCTCCTTCTCTCGGGGTCTGGGTCCTCCTCCTCCTCCGGATGGCGGCCCCTCCGCGGCTTTCTCTGCGGCCGGCGCGCGGCCCTCCGAAGCGCCGCGTGGAGAGAGCGAGACTGGGCGGCGGGCCCAGGGCGGAGTGCAGGGGGGGCGGGCCTCCTCGGAAGGCTCGGGAGGACCGCCGCCCTCGGAGAAGCGCTCCCAGGCATGCTCGCGTCGCAAGAGATCGGGACGGGCGGTTGTTCGCTATGTTCGGCCCCGGGGGGCCCTCGCCGGTCCCTGGAAGCGTCAAGCATCGACTCAGGATGATGAGCCGGCCCCCGGGAAAGGATCTGGACTTCGGGGACGCCGTCCTAAAACAAAAATCAGGACGTCGCGCGTCTGGGTTCTGAGCCCGCTCCAAAGACGGAGACGGCCTCTCGGAAGGCCGGCGGGCCTCTGAGAAGCCTCGCCGCCTTCTCGGCAGGCTTGCTCCATCCCGCGCCCCCCCTCTTAGGCGCGCGGCCGAGAGAGACAGCGCAATTGTGAGCTAGCAGTGCAGTCTGGGAGTCCGCCGCCTGGGGGATCGATCTTCGCGGACCTTCACAGGCGGCGGCTGTGGACGAATTCGGGCCCTCGGGGGGGGGCACATCGCATTGCATCCGCACCCACCGCCCGCTGGGGCACCAGGACGCCGACTCCGAGGCGGTGGGCGTGCCCTGAGAATTGCAACGGAGCAAAGGAGTCACGGCCAGAGACCCGGACACCCCTTTCTGCGCCATTCTTCGAGCCGGAGCGCTCTGTGAGGGCCCCAGGGCCCGAAACCTCGCAGAGTCGCCCGTTGGGAACAAAAAAAGGTGCGGCGCCAGGATCTCAGGGGACGTCGGCTCCCAGGCGGTGGACGTGGCTAAACTCGGGCCGAACGAGAGGGGGGGATAGGGAACGGGGGTGGGTCACGAAATCTGCCGCATGCAGCTGGTTTCGGCCACGCCGCCGGGCCCACTCCTCGATGCATGGGCGCCTCCCGGCGCCGGGAGGCGCTGGGGAAATCGGCTGCGTGAGCTGCTTCTCTGCCCTACCCTTTGCTACTCCAGATTTCGTAATAAAGGGAGGGGGGTCTCATTTCGGGGGGGGTCTCTTCCAGGCTATCTTGGAGGGCCTGGGGGGTCTGGGGACGATGTTTTGGAGGGTTCTCCCACGGGGGAGGTCTGAAATGGCTTGTCTTGGAGGGTCCAGACCCCCTCCCTTTTATTACGGGATCTGGAGTACCCACTCAGGGCGTGCAGATGGAGGAGGCTGGAGGAATCCAGCATGAGGACCGGGCCGGTGCAGGCGGGGGGGACCCCGCGAGGCGCCCGGCACCCGCCCGAGCGGCCGCGCGACGCGGGGCCGAGCGCTGGCGCTGCCCGGGCTTTGGCGCCGTGTCCAGACCCCCTCCCTTTTGTTACGAAATCTGGAGTATCCCCCTCCCTTTTATTACGAAATCTGAAATGGCTTGTCTTGGAGGGTCCAGACCCCCTCCCTTTTATTACGAAATCTGGAGTATCCCCCCCTTGTCGTCGTTCCCCCGATACACCCCCCCGCCTCGCAGGTTCGGCGTTCGTCCGCCGCCCACCACGCCGCGCCGAGCCGCGGCCGCCCCCCCCCCCCCTCCGGCCTCCCCCCCCCCCGCGTGGTGCGCAAGAGGCCTCGGCGAGGGCGACGAGCAGGGCGAGGCCCGCGCCCGCTGCGCCCGCCCCCCCCCCTGCAGCGCTGCGTCCGTGAGGAGGAGAGCTCCTCCTCCTCCTCCTCCTCCTCCTCCCCTCCCTCCTCCTCCACATCCTCTCCTCCTTCTCACATTCCTCTCTTCTCCTCCTCCCCCCGCTTCCTCTCTCCTCCTCCCTCCTCCTCTCCTCCTCCTCCTCTCTCCTCCTCCTCCTCCTCCTCCTCTCTCCTCCTCCTCCTCTCCCCCTCCCTCTCCTCTCCCCTTCTACTCCTCCTCCTTCCATCCCTCCTCCTCCTCCTCCTCCTCCTCCTCCTGAGACCCTACGCTCCAAAAAGAATTGGGGCGTTCCAGAAATGGCCTTGCCTTCGAGGATCGTAAGGACTGCCATGAAATCCTCGTCTGAAGGCGGCGGAAGGTCGGCGGAAGTGAAACGAGGCCGCCTCCGCTGGCGGAAGCTGGCGGAAGGTCGGCGGAAGAGGGCAGACGTAAAAATTGCGCCAGCAAACAATGTCAACATTGTTGGGTTCAGGGTTTCTGGAATCCGCCAATTGAGCGACGCCGATTTTCGAAGGTAAGTTGCTCACGTAAGCTCGCGCGTAAGCGCCTTTGTCTCCAATGCAGCGTGCCGCGCTGGCGGCCTGCGTAAGCCAACGCGTAAGGTCGCTACGTCATCTCGCGTAAGACCCGCTTTTGATCGTCGCTCAATTGTAGCGGCGTTTTTGTTGTGGTTGTGGTTGTGGTTGTGGTTGTGGTTGTGGTTGTGGTTGTTGAACATTATTTATTCTAAAGAATAATTATTGTTGGGACCCCTGGTGCGCGACCCCCTCGCCGCGCCTAGGCCGCAGCTACATTTTCATCATTTTCGTGAGGAAGCCTCAGGTAATACGATGTCATCAAGATCCGGTTGTTTTGTTCCCCCCCGCTGTCCCTTGCAAAAAACACTATAAAATGAAATTTCTTGTTCTAAAATAACCAAACTTCAAGAATCCCTTGCAAAAAATAAGGTAAAGTGGACATTCGCGCGCGCAAGACGAAATCCTTCCAAAACCTTAGTGTTCGTAGCGATTTCAACATAAAAACATCAAAAAACCAATGGTTTTTAAAAAAAAATGTCACAATTTCATCCCGCGCGCTCTTGCGGATTTGCAGGAAACCCAACTTTTTTAAACATTTCTGTCAAACGGGCTTTTGCGATCAACTTCTTCACGTGCTTCGAACTTCTCCAACAACGGTTGCGCACCTGCCAGGGCCATCATCCCTGTCAAATAATACCATGCGGGACACATTCGTTTTTTCTTTCCGTGCGCACGCCGAAATCTTCAAAAACCATTGGGTTTCGTAGGAATTTTAGCACCGCGCAACATAAAATCATTTTTCGCACCGTAGGCCCTTCAAATCGTCGTCGTCGTATACTAAGCTAGTTTCCACAAGATGTTACCACAAGAAGTCATTGAAACCATGCGCCAGTGTAGTAGCCACGGTCGTCCGCATGCCACGAAGTGAAGTGTCCGAACGTCATAGGGCGGGAAGCTGGGTGTGGGTGGTGGCGAAGAGTCGTTTGGAAATGTGGTAGAGCTTGAACCGGCCCCCCCACAAAGTGGGGGTATTGGCGGGCGTCGTATGAAAACCCTGGCACTGGTGAGAACACTGAGCGTTCGGGTAAAATGATTGTTGTTGTTGTTGTTGTTGTTGGACTCTCATTTCTGAAGAATCATTTTTGTTGATCCCCCCCCGTCCGGTGCGCATTGTTTTTTCTGGATTGAAGTACCCTTCCCGGGGCTCGCACCCTGTTTTTTATCAGAGAAAGTCTGGAGCGTCAAATTGTGTCTGTGGCCCCCGGGTTACAACAACAACGGCTCCCGCCTCAGACCCCCGCTCTCGCCCGAGACTTCCTTGCATTGTATTCAGGAATCGCGCTCTCGCTTGGAGACTTCCTAGCAATTTACTGAAGAATAGCGTCCTTGCGGTTGAAATTCTTGCAATGTAGTCAAACGCGGCGCTTCCCGACACCCAGGCACCCAGGAGTCGCGCTCACGGTTAGGACTCCCTCACATGTTACCTAAGAATCGGGATCTCGCTGCCCTTCGTGGCCCCGTTGCAGCCCTTCGTGGCCCTCTCGCTTTGTTTGGTGGCCCCGTTGCAGCCCTTCGTGGCCCTAGCTGCCCTTCGCGGCCCCGTTGCAGCCCCTCGTGGCCTCCTCGCTGCCCATTGTGGCCCCGTTGCAGCCCTTCGCGGCCCCCTCGCTTTGTTTCGTGGTCCCGTTGTAGCCCTTCGTGGCCCCTTCGCTGCCCGTCGTGGCCCCGTCGCAGCCCTTCGTGGCCCCGTTGCAGCCCTTCGCGGCCCCCTCGCTGCCCTTCGTGGCCCCCTCGCTGCTTTTCGTGGCCCCATATATGTATGCCCTTCGTGGTCCCCGATCGTTCGCGCCGGTGGTGGCCCCATATGCATGCCCTTCGTGGCCCCGCTGTCGCTCTTCGTGGCCCCTTCGCTGCCCTTCGTGGCCCCGTTGCTGCCCTCAGTGGCCCCGTCCTTGCCCTCCGCGGCCCAGTATACGTATGCCCTTCGTGGCCCCCGCTCGTTCGCGCCCGTTGTGGTCCCATGCGCATGCCCTTCGTGGCCCCGCTGTCGCCGTTTGTGGCCCCCTCACTGTCCTACGTGGCCCAGTTGCTACCTTCACTGGCCCCGTCGTTGCCTTCTGGGGCCCCGCATGATCTGCCCTTCGTGGTCCCCGATCGTTCGCGCCCGTCGTGGCCCCATGTGCATGCCCTTCGTGGCCCCGTTGTCGCCGTTTGTGGCCCCATATGCATGCCCTTCGTGGCCCCGCTGTCGCCCTTCGTGGCCCCCTCGCTGCCCTTTGTGGCCCCGTTGCTGCCCTCAGTGGCCCCGTCCTTGCCCTCCGCGGCCCAGTATACGCATACCCTTCGTGGCCCCCGCTCGTTCGCGCCCGTTGTGGTCCCATGCGCATGCCCTTCGTGGCCCCGCTGTCGCCGTTTGTGGCCCCCTCACTGTCCTACGTGGCCTAGTTGCTACCTTCACTGGCCCCGTCGTTGCCTTCTGGGGCCCCGCATGATCTGCCCTTCGTGGTCCCCGATCGTTCGCGCCCGCCGTGGCCCCATGCGCATGACCTTCGTGGCCCCGTTGTCGCCGTTTGTGGCCCCATATGCATGCCCTTCGTGGCCCCGCTGTCGCCCTTCGTGGCCCCCTCGCTGCCCTTTGTGGCCCCGTTGCTGCCCTCAGTGGCCCCGTCCTTGCCCTCCGCGGCCCAGTATACGCATGCCCTTCGTGGCCCCCGCTCGTTCGCGCTCTTCGTGGCCCCATACGCATTCTCTCCGTGTCCCCGCTGTCGCCCGTCGTGGCCTACTTCGTGTCCTTGTGGCCCTGCTGTCGTTCTCTCTCGCTCTCGCTTTCGCTCATCGTCGTCGCCGTCGTCGTCGTCGCCGTCGTCGTCGACTTCGTCGACGTCGTCGTCGACGTCGTCGTCGTCGTCGTGGTCGGTCCCCTGTCCGTCCCTCTTGGGGTCGGGTCGACGGTCCGCGGCCGCCCCGCCGATCAGCGCTGCCGCTGGCCAGGCCGACGGTCCGCGGCCGCCCCGCCGCTTGCTGGGGCCTGGCCTGCAGGGAAGAAAGGTGTACCCCCCAAAAGGGGTTCGATCGAAGACGAAGAGGGCGGGTATCGAGGGTTTGGGAAATACGCGTTATTGGACATTCGAGCAGATAAGGGCGCACAGTCTTAACATGATTGTTGTTCTTGTGGTTGTGGTTGTGGTTGTTGTTGTTGCTGCTGCTGTTGTTGTTGTTGGTGTTGTTTTTGTTGTTGTTGTCGTTGTCGTTGTCGTTGGCGTTGTTGCTGTTGCTGTTGCTGTTGCTGTGGTTGTGGTTTTGGTTGTAGTTGTTGTTGTTGATGTTATGTTTGTTATGGCAGTTGTGTTTGTTGTTGTTGTTGTTGTTGTTGTTGTTGGTGGTGTCGGTGTCGGTGTCGGTGTCGGTGTTGATGTTGTTGTTGTTGATGTTGGTGTTGCTGTTGGTGTTGCTATTGGTGTTGGTGTTGGTGTTGTTGTTGCTGGTGTTGTTGTTGTTGTTGGTGTTGTTGTTGTTGTTGTTGTTGGAAAAGGCGTGCGTGGGAGCCCCGGCCGCCCCCCCCCCCCCAAAGCAACCGAGCAACCGAGCAACCCTCTCTGGGGTCTCCTGGAGGCGCCACGGATTCCTTAATAGGATTTCCTAGGAAGTCTATAGGCTTCCATAGGAAATCTATAGACCTCCCTAGGAGTTCTATAGGCCCCCGTCGGAATTCGATAGGCCCCCATAGGAATTCTACAGGCCATCATGGGAATTCTATAGGCCTCCATAGGAATTCGATGCGCCTCCATAGGAATTCTATATGTCTCCGTAGGAATTCTATATAACCCCCATAGAAATTTTATCGGCCTCCATAGGGATTTTATCGGCCTCCATAGGAATTCTATAGGCATCCGTAAGAATTCTATAACCCCCGTCGTCGTCGTCGTCGTCGTCGCCGTCGTCGTCGTCGTCGTCGTCGTCGTCGCCGCCGTCGTCGTTGTCGTCGTCGTCGTCGGTTTCGTCGCCCCGCCACCGCGCGCCACCTGGCGTGCCCGCCCGGTGGGAGGGGCAGGGAGATAGAGGGACATTGGCGGGGCGGAGGACGAGGCCGCCGACGACGGCAATTACAATGATAATTATGGTGATGATGACGACGACGATGATGAGGAGGATGCGGATGAGGATGCTGATGATGATGATGATGATGATGATGATGATGGGGATGACGATGACGATGGTGGCGATGAGGATGACGTGGATGAGGATGATGATGACGATGATGATGATGATGACGACGACGACTACGATGATGATGATGATGGTGATGATGACGACGATGATGATGATGGGGATGGTGATGATGAGGACGACGTGGATGAGGATGATGACGATGATGATGATGATGATGATGATGATGATGCTGATGATGATGATGATGATGATGATGATGATGATGATGATGATGATGATGATGATGATGATGATGATGATGATGATGAGTAAGACGAGGTGGACGAGGTTGGGGGGGGGGGGTGCTGGTTGCTATTGCTGTTGCTGGGGGGGGGGGTCAGAATGCGTCCACGGGGCTCTGAGCGCAGCCTTCGCAATAAGGCGAGGGCGGGTCCGGACGGCCAGAGCTCACGGGGCTCCCACGCACGCCTTTTCCTTGTTGTTGTTGTATGTGTTGCTGTTGCTGTTGCTGCTGCTGTTGTTGTTGCTGTTGTTGTTGCTGCTGCCATTTGCGGCCTCAGTGGGCCCTCGCCAGGCCTGGGGACCGCCCGGAAAACCGCTCGGGACGGAAAACCGAACCTAGTAAGTCGGGCACGCCCCTCTACAGGAGGGATATTCGAAAATAGTAAAACAATTGTCAGTGGATGATGTCTCGACATTTTTGAGTATTTTTGGACTGTTTAATATTTTCGTCCAAAATCCGCCTGTAGTGGGACATGCACGATCTAAGCCTATAGGGAAGTGGTCCAGACCTCCGGGGCCCACGCATCGAACGAATCGGATCGGCGGGACGTCTGGGGCGAATCCAAGGGGTGCCACTTCCAGCGATGGGGGTCCACGATGCCTCCCCGAGCTGGGGATGGGGGATGTCTCGAGCGAGGGGGGGGGGGGGGCACCCCACCAGTGGGGCCCCCCCCCAGGCTCTTTTCGCTGGTGGTCCCTGGTGGTGGTGGTGTCGCTGTTCTTTGTTCCTGTGAGCAGGCGTTGTCCTCTTCGAGGCATCCGAGAGGTTTCTCCTGGCCACGGCCTGGTCCGCCTCGAGATGTCCCAGGCGGTGGCTACGGATACACTCCCGCCCCGCACGAGCGAAGGCCACGGACGGCATCACGTACATCAAGCGCGAGTGGGTGTGGATGCCGAAGTCGGAGGCCGAGCAGCGGTGCGGTGCGCCCCCCGGCCCCGCCGGCGGCGCGGTGCCGCGGCCCGCGCCCCCGGGGCAGTGGCCCCTCGGGGCGGAGGAGGGGGGGGACGACGCGAGGAAGAGGAGGAGGAGTTGGAGGAGGTGGAGGAGCGAGGAGGAAGAGGATTCGGAGTTGGGTGAGGAGGAGGAGGAGGAGGAGGAGGAGGAGGGGGGGACGAAACGAGGAGGAGGAGGAGGAGGAGGAGGAGGAGGAGGAGGAGGATTCGGAGGAGGAGGAGGAGGAGGAGAAGGATACGGAGGATGCGGAGTAGGAGGAGGAGGAGGTGGCCTGAGGAGTCGGGCTCACGGAGGGTGCGGGCCTCCCTCCCCTCGCGTGTCGCGCAGCGGTTGCGGTGGGCAAGAGGATGTGGGGGTGTTCAGGCCTGCCAGTCGGTTCTCGGCGGTCCGCCAGCCTCGGGGCGTCTTCCAGCAGCGGCGACTCGCCGCAGTCTCGTGGACTCTCGCGGCCCTTGCTCTCCCTCTGCGCTGCCGCTGCGGCGCGGCATTCTAGCAGGAGGGCCAGTTTCTCGGCCTATCCCCCCGCCGTCTCCAATCGTGTGTGCGGTGTTCTTGATTCGACTGCATCGTTCCACGCTCGCTCGCTCGCCGTTTTCTCCGATTCGAGCCGTTGTCCGGGTGCATCCAAAGAGGAGGGTGATAGCGTTGGGTTTCCGCCGGCCCCATCGGGGCAGGGGCTCGCCTGCCAGGGTTGGGGCGCAGCGGCTCGCCGTGGAGGATTGGAGAGGATGGGCGCCTCGGCCCGCCGATGCGATCCGACGCTCGGGCGCGGCCAAGAGGGGGGCCATGACGAGGGGTGGGATCTCACGGCGGGGGATCTGACGAGCTCCTGGCCCCCGTTCTGCTTTTTCGAGACGCGCCCCTTCTCGTCCACGACATGCCCCTGGCCAGGAGCTGCGACCCCCCCCCCGTGGACGCCCCCCTCTATAGGTCGCGCCCGAGTGGAGCGCAGCCCTCCAGCTCGAAGCTGGCAGACTGAGGACCACAGAGGCTCCGACCCGCCTCGGAGACTCTGCACGCCGTGGCCGCCAGGTCCCAACGCATGGCTGGCGCGCTCCCTGGGTGCCCTGCCTCGGCGGCACCCTGCGGCCGCCGGGCCCCAAGGTGTGCGGGTGCTCCCTGGGGGCCTGCTCCCTGGGGGCTCCGCCTCGCGCTCTCGGGCGGGAATCGCCTGTGAGTTTCTCGCGTTCTCGCGCTCTCGCGTTCTCGGCTGCGAGTCGGGTTCCGCCTCGCGTTCTCGCGTTCCGCCTCGCGTTCGGTTGTGACGTTTCGGCTTCCAAGGGGCTGAGAAGATGGTTGAGGAGGACGCCCAGGGGCTGCCAAGACGGTCCAGGATGGCATGGGGCATAGGGCGCACCAAGACAGACGCCGGGCCGTCGTCCCCGGGGGACCACGGGATGCTAGAGGGAGACTCCAGGATGATGCCTATCGGGGGGCCCAGACAGCCCAAGCCAGCCAAAGAGATTGTTTTTGTACCCTCTGGCGCGTAACGGTGGTTACCCGGACCAGACCTCCTCCCTGGGAATGGTAACGATCAGGCGCATGGCGTTCGCGCGCAGATGTTGGCCATCGCATCGCTCCCCGCCCCGACGTGCAGGCAGCGACCGTCCTCTAGGGTCATCCGCCCCCACCACCCCCCACCAGGCAACGACCGTGATTTCGGTCACCTCGAGGGGCGCGAAGAGGATCGCGCTCTGCGCATCGCGGCCTGGGTTGGAGCGGCGCCGCCCTCCAGAGGTGGCCGCGCGGCGCGGGGCGCGAGGCGCGAAGTCCGGTGGCCCAGGTTGGACGCGAAGCCGTCGTACGTACCAGAAGCCGATCTCTTGAGCACGCGTGGCGCAAGCCCCAAAGCGGCGGGGCGCGGCCCCGCCAGCGCGCGCGCGCGCCTCCGAGCCCCCCTGGGATGCCGCGCGGCCGCCGCGGCGGCACCGCCGGCGCGCGGCTGGCGGCCGCCGCGCTTGCGGTCGGGACGCGCGCCGGTGGCCACAGCGGCGGCAGCAGCAGCGGCGGGCACGCGATCCATGGCCGTCAGGGGCAACGGGGGGTGGGCGATAGGGCACCGAAGGGCCCAGGGGAGTTTCGGCTTCGAGGTCTCCAGGCTCGAGGTGTTCCGACCTCTTCGTCGGTCCTCGTCGGTCGAGGCGAGGAAAAAAAAACGCCAACGGTAGGGGGGGAGAGGCTAGGCTTAAGGCGGGCGTGTCTCTCTACTGGAGGGATATTCAAAGATAATCAGAGAATAGTCTGGGGACGAGTTTCCGATTATTTGTGAACCAATTTTGAGGTTTTATTTTGTAGGCTTCATTTGTCCTCCAACATCCGCCTACAGGAGGACATGCCCGACCCGAGGCTAGGCTCAGGGTGGAGGGGGGGGGCTGCATCGTCCCCCAATCGCCCATGGAGCGCCGGCAGGAGTCGGATGGCCCACCTCGCCCAGGAGCGTGCGGTCTGGCCATCGGGGGGGCTCGTCGCCGATCCAGCGTCGACTCACGGCAGGGTCCCGCGGCGCTTGGCACGCCAGGGACGCCGGCGAAGGCGTTCAAAGGTCCAATCCTGCGACGCGGAGCCACCAGGGTACACGGCGACGCCACTGGTCGGGGGAGAAAAAGATACGGATACGTGTTGTCACCCTTCGTTTTCGGCCTTTCCTGGTCCTCCTGGGGAATCCTCGTTGTCACCGCTGGATTCGCCTCGAAATTCTGGTCAGAACGCACCCCAAGAGAGGTCCGGGGACAACACGTATCCGTATCTTTCCGCCCCCCAAACTGGGCCCGGCGGAATCCAGCCTTGGACGATCGGGGCCGCGATCGATCCGAGGTTCCAGCCTCGACTCTCGAAGCTTCAACTTCAGCGAGTCCCGAGTCCCGGCAGGCGAGCAAAACAACAGAACGGTGTGAAGAACCTCTGCGCGCGCCGAGGCCGCGCGAAGCTGCCGTAGCGCAGCTGCCAGGGCGATGCTTCCAGCCCTGAGCCGGTCCCCCCTGTGGTTGCCCCTCAGGCGGGCACGCGCTCCACGGCCGCGGCAGCCCAGGCGAGGGCAATCGCAGCGGCGGCAGCGGCGGCCACGGCAAGCCAGGCCTCCGCACCGGGGGTCCGGGCAGTGGAGGTCGGAGGATCTTGCCGCGTCGCCGAGGCATCGCCCGTGTGGCTCCACGTGGAGCCCGAGTCTTGCTCGTGCCGACGGCGCCGCTGCATCGCCGACGTCGCCGATGCATCCCCGGTGCGTCGGCTCGGCGATGCGGTGCGATCCGCCGACGCCTTTCTCTCAGGAGGGGAACAACAAGACAGACACAATGAAGCGTCGACTCCCAGGTAAAGACGGGAAACTATGGGAAGTGGGGGTGAGGACGAAAACCCAGAACATATGGGAAAATCTGGGGGATCTTCTTACTTGTTAACATTTATTCGTATGTCCCAGGGCCCCTTCATTGCACTCGGACCCTATCTAGGAGGCCTCCAGGTAACAGCAGTCGGCATGATGACAGTCGTCGGCACCGCCGCCTGAAGATCACCAACCACTGCGACCGCGAGCCCATTTGGATCGCCCACATGGCGTCGACTGGCACCGGGCCCGACCAGCAGAACCTGAGGCTCGACCCCATGCAGTCGCACGACTTCGTGACAGAGGACGGCCTGGCCTCGACCCGCTACTGGCCGAAGATGCGCTGCGACGCTCACGGGAACGGGTGCCTGCTCGGCGACAGCGGAGGGCCGCATCAGATTTGCGACGAGACCATCGGCTGCGCGCCACCCGTGGACAGCAAGTTCGAGGCCAGCTTCGGCATGAACGGCACCGACTGGGTGGATGTCAGCCTGGTGGACGGCTGGACGCTGCCGTTCAAGTTCGTCGTAGGCTCGCAGAACGACGGCGAGCGAGGGGGGAAAGTGAGAAGGAGATGGCCTTCCCAGGAGGTGTCGGGGCTTCTCACAAGCGCCCCTGCCTCCCGAGGGCAGTTTTCTACGTTCTCGGGGAGGGCTTCGAAACATTTTCAGAGAAGGCCGTAGGACTCCCGAGCCTTCTGAGAGGGCCCGCCCCCTCTCACTTCCCCCCCCGGGCTCGCCGCCGAGAAGAGCAAATCAACCGCGCAGGCATCAACGTTCGGCGCTCCGCGCGGATTTCTTGGATCGGCGCCTGGGCCCCCGTGGCGGCGCCTCCGGCGCCGTCCCGTGCGCGCTCCGCGCGCCAGGGAGGGGGGGGGTCCAGCGCAGATCCCCAAAAAACCCGCGCGGAGCTCCGACAGTGTATGGTTCTGCCGTGACTTCGGAGCGGGGAACGGTGCCCATACGTGCTAGCGTTCCCTCGTTGTTCCCTTTTGGGGGGGCTTCCTGGGAGGCCCCCGTCGCCACCGCTGGATCCGCCTCGGAATTCGGGTCGGAACGCACCCCAGGAGAGGCCCGGGGAGTAGCACTAGGTCGGGCATTAATGATGAATGTGATAAGTAAATTCCAAAATAGCAACAAACTATTTGAAAAAGTATCCCCAGGTTTTTTTTACTATTTTCCAATATTCCTCCTGTAGAGGGGCGTGCCCGACTTACGAGTAGCAGTAGCGGTACCGTTTGGTTTCCCCAGCTGTTTGTTCTCCTATAGACGGCAATTGCAGCGCGGGCGACGGCAACCGCGCGGTGCGGGGCGTGACGGACTGCTCCAGGCTCTCGCTCTCGCAGTGCCCGTCCAGCGAGGCCATCGGCGGGAAGAAGTTGAGCCTCGAGGTTGTCCAGCCGGGGACCAACGACAAGTCGAAGAAGAATCAACTAAATATGCATAAACTTTTTGGCGTTCCGCGCGGATTTCTTGGATCCGCGCTGGGCCCCCCTGGCGGCGCCTCCGGCGCCGCCCCTGGCGCACTCCGCGGGCAAATGAGGGGGGGTCCGGCGCAGATCCAAGAAATGCGCTCCGACCCGACAATTGGCGTTTACTGAAAAGCCTTGAGGCGTTTATTGGACAGCCCTGCCCTGTTCGATTCCAACCGTGCGTGCGCTTACTAAACGGCTCCGAGAGCTTGGGTGACTCTTATGGGGATGAATTGTCTGCCCTCTAGAGGTTGTCCAGCCGGGGACCAACAACGTCGTCGGATGCTACAGCCCCTGCAGTAAGCTGACGCTCAGCCAGTGGGGCAACGACGGGGCGCAGGGCGTGACGCCTGCCGACCGGAAGGCCTCAAGCTACTGCTGCCCTACGCCCCCGGAGACGCCCGAGGCGTGCCGGAAGGGGCCCGTGGAAGGCACGAAGTTTGTGAAGGCCGTGCACAAGCATTGCCCAGGTGGGCGAAGCGACAAAAAATTGGTCATTTGCGCTGGCATCGGTGCGCAAGCTGGTCGCGTAAGAAGGCGCGTAAGCGCCCTCGTCTCCAATACAGCGTGCCGCGTTGGCGGCCCGCGTAAGCCCCCGCGTGAGGTCTCTATGCCGTCCCGCTTAAGACCCGTTTTTGATCGTCGCTGAGGTGTTTACGGATACTCGTACGACGATGGCATGGGTCTGATCACATTCGGCGGCGAGCCCGGGGGGGAAGTGAGAAGGGTCGGGCATTCTCAGCAGACTCAGAAGTCCCCGCGCCTTCCGAGAAGTTTCCGCTGTCTTCTGAGACGGTCTTCTTTACTCATTTACCCCCTCGCTCGCCGCCGACACATGCCCAAAGACAACCAGATACGAGATGATTTTCTTTTGTCCCGACAACGGCACAGACCAGGCCGAGATTGACGGCGCCACGCCTGGCGCCGGCAGCGGGCCCAACATCGGAGGCCTGGAGATCGGCCCCAGCACCATCATCGGCGGCCACCTCCGAGGGAAGATGATCCCGATCTCGGTGATGGTGGTGGTACTCGGGCTTCCCAGGTTGCCGCAGTATTGCCACCAACGCCAACATCTGGGGATCGTCTTCCCTCGGCACGGGCGGCCCCCTGGGTTTGTGTCGGTGCCCATTCCCAAGCCTCGAGCAGCACGGGCAGCAGCAGCGGCTCTGGCGGCAGCGGCAAGAAGTGCGGGCAAGTTGTATGTCCATATTCATTGCGTCTTGGACTCTCTGGGAAGGGGCGCCAAAAGGCCGAAGCGCAGTGGATATGCACACAGGCCGAGCTGGGTTGTCTGGGGACGTGAGCCCGAAATTCCGAGATGCCCTGGATATGGATTCCCGCTGGTCGTTGACAGGAGAAATCTCTGCATCCGCAAGTCCCAATCTACTTTTGGCGCCTTCCTGCTTCTCAGAGCGTGAATTACCTACCCCGCTTTCGCTTCCAGGCAAAACCAAGCCATACCACGCGCCTCCTCGTCAAGGGGCCTGACCAGTACAGGCCGTAGTTTGGCATCGCTTGGTATCTCTTGGAAGCGAGGGCGGTCAAAAGCGAGGTAGATTTGTTTTCCCCCTAGCTTCAAGAGTGCAGTGGTCTTCCCTCTCTCCTCCTCTTCAGGGGGGCGGGTGGAAAGGCCCCACCTACTTCCACCGCCTGCCTGCTCCACGTTTCTGCCCCCGTCTTCCGACCAGCGGGCCTACATCTTGCCCGCGAGAAGCGCGGCGGAGAGGCCGACGACGGCCACGGGGTCCGCGCCACGCCTGCCGAGGGCAGGCGGCCTGGCAGGGGCAACCGCAGCGGCTCCGGCGGCAGCGCCCAGGAGGCCGGCGGCGAACTCGTGGAGCCAGGGGCGGCGTGGAACCAGTACTGCGCCGACCCGGCCGTGTACAGCGGGCACTCCTCGGGCCTGGAGGACTGCCAGAGGCTGTGGAGCTCCCAACTGTCGGCGGCCAGCCCGGAGGGGGCATGGCCTCCCAAGGCCCTTGCATCCTTGCCGCGCCGCCTGATCACATGCGTCGACTGCGCGACGACCGACACCAGCTCTGTTCATTCTCTGTTCATTCCGAACAGGGCTCGCTGTCGGTGTCCCCGCGGGTGTTGTCCATCCGCGGTCAGCCTGGGAGGGAAGTGAGAGTGGGCGGGCCTTCTCAGAAGGCTCGGGAGTCCTCTGGTTCTCTGAGGAGATTTCTAAGGCTTCCCCGAAGATGCAAAGAACGTCTCAGAAGGCTGGATGGCTTCTGAGAAGCCCCGCCGCCTTCTGAGAGGGTCGTACCCTCTCACTTCTCCCCCTCGCTCGCTGCCGAAAATGGGGTCCAAGTAGATGTCGGGGAACGAACAACGGCATAAGCACACACACACATCTCCAGGAGGTTAGCGCGGACCTCCGAAAGCTGTGCTCATGCCAGCATTAGTTCTGCTGTATGGGGTCTGTGGATCGCGCCGCACCACCGATGTATCGGGGTTCACTCGATGTGGACCACGGCCACGCCAGCTTCGCCGACGTATCGCCTATATGCATCGGCGAAGCGTCGGCGATGCGGCGTGATCCTCGGGAGGCGCTGCCGGCTCAACCCCGACTGCGGCTTCCTCTCCCACTGGCAGTCCCGAGGCCATCACTGGTGCTCAGAGGAGGAAAAGGTACCCCGTACCTCTGCCCTTCGCTCGTTCTCCCCTCTGTGGGCCTCCTGGGCTGCCCTCGGCACCACCGCTGGATGCGCCTCGACATCCTGGTCAGAACGCACCCCGGGAGAGGTCTGGAGGGGGTACCAGTATCGGCACCTTCTGGTTTCCCCAGGTGCAGGCTGACGCAGCGGTGCGACAAGCTCAGGCACCACGGCGCGCAGCCGATCTCGATCTACCGGAAGTCGGAAACTGGAACATATACATTACCAGTGGCGGGCTGTTTTTCAATCCCAGGACGTCTTGAGGCTCGAGGACGACGCTGGGGTGGTGTGGTGTATAATTTGTTCCCCGATGTCCCGGGGAAACAACGAAAAATGTATATACCAGGGTCCCGTAAACACCAGGATCCGCTCTCCAGTGCAAACTACAATGCAGGGCCGGAACAAGCGTCGGTGTATAGAGTTCGATTCCCTAGGAAGGACGTCCAGGAGAAGTCCGCTCCGGAGCCGGCGCCGGCGCCAGCGACACCGCCGCAGGCGCGGGCGCCGGCGGCGGACGAGGAGGAGGCGCATGCCTTGGAGGACCCTGAGATCCGGCGTTGCCTCAAAAACGTTACATAGAAATTGACCACATAACATCCTCCTCCTCCTCCTCCTCTTCCTCCTCCTCCTCCTCCTCCCCCTTCTCCTCCTCCTCCTCCTCCTCCTCCTCCTCCTCGTTCTCCCCCTCCCCCTCCCCCTCCTCCTCCTCCTACTACATCTCTTTCTGCGCCACATCTCGAGCCGGATCGGCCCGTGGGAGTGGCCCTGTCGTGAGGAGGAGCAGGCGGCGCCGGGACATCTCAGGGGATCCCGAGGGCAACTAACCACATAACAATGAACCACATAACATCCTCCTCCTCCTCCTCCTCCTCCTCCTCCTCCTCCTCCTCCTCCTCCTCCTCCTCCTCCTCCTCCCCCTTCTCCTCCTCCTCTGAAGGGCAACGCGACGGCCCGCGGGACCTGCTGCTTCCTCGAGCGGGAGCCGGGGGGCGCCTGCCGGGGCGGGTGCGCCAGCGGCGCGTCGGCGGCGGGCGGGCCCTGCGCGGCGTCCCGCGAGGGCTGCAGGCGCTGCCTGGCCGGCGCGGTGTGGTGCCCGGCGGCCCGGGGCGCCCGCGAGCGCCCGCGGGCGGCCGGGGAGGGCGTGCGGCTGTGGGCTGCGGCGGGCGGCGCTGCGGGAGGGGCACGGTCTCGAAAGGGGTGCTGGCGGGCCTGTGTTCCACCACTACGCCGCCATCTCAGTGGGAGGGGGGAGGAGGAGGAAGGGGAGGAGGAGAGGAGGAGGAGGAGGAGGAGGAGGAGGAGGAGGAGGAGGAGGAGGAGGAGGAGGGAGGAGGGAGGAGGAGGAGGAGGAGGAGGAGGAGGAGGAGGAGGGGGAGGAGGAGGAGGAGGAGGAGGAGGAGGAGGAGGGAGGAGGAGGAGGAGGAGGAGGAGGAGGAGGAGGAGGAGGAGGAGGCCCCCCTCCCCCTCCTGCTCATGGTGGTGGCGGTGGAAGACAAGCCCACCAGGGCGCGTCGGCCACGCGCGGAGGGGGGCATTCCAGGCTTCATAGATGGGACCGGAGCAGATGGGATCGGAGGATGGCGCTGCACCGCCGATGCATCGGCGAGTCGGCTCGATGCGGAGCCCGATTTACTCCACGCCGATGTCGCCGATGCATCGCCGACGTCGGCGATGCATCGCCGATGCATTGGCGATGCGGCGCGGTCCTCCGACCCCATCTACTCGGACCCCATCTAGGAGGCCTCTGGCGTCGGCCACGCGCGGAGGGGGGGGGGAGTGGTAGCAAGTCCTGTTAGCCTCGTGCTCTGTCTTCAGGGATGCGTGGGCGCCGCTTGGCGTCTGGTGATCGGTGAGACAGTGCCGACATAGCGTCGATTAAGGTCGTTTAGCGTCGATCAGCGTCGATTTAGCGTCGATTAGCGTCGATCTAGCGTCGAGTAGCGTCGATTGGCGTTGATGAGTGTCGACGGACGTCGATTCGCAAGAGCCAATAGGATGGTATGGGAGGCCCCCACGAGTTGCCGCAGAAGGGGGACGGGGGAAGGCGCTTTAGCACTCCTGCTTCTCAGAAGGTGCGGGGCCTTCTAAGGAGCATTCTTCTATGGAGCCTTCCCGCTCCCCTACCTCGTTGTGCGCGCCGCCGAGTGCGGAAAGACTGCAGTCAGCCCGCACAGTAGGGATGGGCAACCTTCCCAAGGGTACCCCTGCATCCTTGCCTCCTCGGTCCATCCTTGGCCACTCCCGTGGGCCGCGCCCCGCTCGAAAAGCGTCGACATCTGATGTCGACGCTTTTCGATGCGCGAAAAGGATGATGATCATCCTTTTCGCGCATCGATATGAGACGGGCCGACTGCATGGGTACTCCAGATCCTTCAGTAAGCCCCCCCCCGTGCTAAACTGTCCGACGCCCCTTGCCCGCCCCCCCCCCACGTTCCCCAAACCCACCCCCTCTCGCTCCCCAGCCTCCCCACGCCCCCCGAAGGACGAGCGCGAAGTGATCCGCGCTTCGCGGAGCGCGAAGCGCGAAATCGGGAGCCCTTGTGGGGGAAGGCCCCCAGGGTCCAGGACCCGTTTCCCTCCTGACCCGCTTCCCCCATGCCAAAGACGGGTTCGGGGGCCCGCAAGCGGTGTGGTGACCCTCCCGTGTGGTGAGTCGGTGGGGATTCGGGCTCACCGCACGGTTTTGAGTGACTCGGGTTCTCCGAGGACGTCTCGGGCGACTGGAGCCTCCACGGTCCCAAGACCGTGCGCTGACAGAGCGTGCGGTGAGGTCTGGGGGGATTTCGAGGTCACCGCACGGTCTGTCACCGCATCGTTTCGGGACTCCAAATGGGCGCGGAAAGGATGGGCACGAAGGACGAAAGCAGTTCTTGTTCATATCAAACAGAACTCGCTGTCGCTGTCGCTTGGAACATGTGTTTCAATCACTCTCGCACACACGCTGCACGTAAAGCTGGGCACGGGAAGAATGTGTAATCATATACAAAAGCGGCCTGTTCATTTCGAATGTGTGCAGTCCGAGCGAATGGTAAGGATGAGCGATTTGCCAAGGATCTCTGTGCATGATTCCACTCAGGCCCATCCTTGGCCAGTTTCGCTGGCCGCGCCTCGCTCGAACAGTGTCGTCGTGGCATTCAGTTTCGCTGGCCGCGCCTCGCTCGAAAAGTGTCGACATGGCCTTCCAAGGCCCTTGCATCCTTACCGCGCAGCTTGATTATGCGCGTTGACTGTACGAAAACCGACAGCACCTCCTGTTCATTTCGAGCAGGGCTCGCTGTCGGTGTCCCCGCGGATGTTGTCCGTCGGCGGCCAGCCCTGGAGGGAAGTGAGAGGGCACGGGCCTTCTCAGAAGGCTCGGACGTCCTCCGGCCTTCCCCGAAGAGGCAGAACTTTGCTCAGGAGACTTTGGGGGGCGTCTGAGAAGCCCCGCCGCCTTCTGAGAAGGCTCCCTTCTCCTCGCTTCCCCCCTTCGCTCGCCGCCGACATTTGAGACAAACGGCCGGCTGCCTAACTGCCGTCGCCGTCAGCTCTAGACAACATTTGCCGTTGAGCATGGTGTGCCGTCGGAACCGATGGTGAGGACGGGCAGCCTTCCCAGGGGCCACCCCTGCAGCCGTGTCTCCCTGGCCCGCCCTTGGCTACCCTCGATGGCCCGCCGCGCTCGAGAAATCTTCAGCACTGGCGCCATGCCCACCACTGGAGCTCCGAGACTGGCGCACGCGCGTACGCGAAGCACTGGTACACCTGTGCGACGGGATCTTTGCGACGGGATCTTGCCGATCGGCAGCTCGGCTGCCATCTGTTCGTCAAGACAATCGCCTCTTCCCTTGACTTGTGATTCATCCCACATGCCGATGTAAAAGTTAGATGTTGACTGTCACCGAGGGGGGTCTTGAATGATGCCCCCCCTCAAACTCTCGGCGGGCAACAGAACTCCTCCCCCTCCTCGTCCCTCCCCTCCCTATGAATCCATTGGAGTCCGACGAATCCATAGGAACCCTGAGGGATTCCTACGACTCTGAGCAACCCACAGGAACGCCAGCAGTGGCCGCCGCGGGAGACGAATTATTTTCTCAATGCTGTTTCCGGTCCCAATCCGTCAATGATCCCGCGCAAAGAAAGATATGTAAAATACCTCTTCGGGTTACCCATGTTCTATGCACCCCTTGGCATCGCTCTGACGTGTGCAGTCTTTCTCGGCGAGGATCATCGAGGAGCATCCTGGATCATCTAGAAATTAAAGTACGCACGACACCGAACCACAAGCCCGCGCTAAAAAAGTATCCATATGTTGTTGAGAGTGGGTATTTCGGGATTCCCAGATTCCAATCTACTCTAAGCGCCTTCCTACTTCAATGATCGAGTGGCTTCAACTTTTCCGTCCTCCTTAGGGGGCGGACGGAACCCAATCCCTTTTCAACGCCTTCCTACTTCCTGTTTCTGCCTACCTCTGGCCGATGGGCGTAAGGGAGTTTATGAAAGACCTAACTCGGGTTACCCGTGTCATCGTTTTCTGATCCACTGTTTTTTTTTCCGATCGGCGCAGGCCCTTGCATCCCCCCTCCCCCCTCCCCATGGAGTAGGTCTTGGCTATGTTGCGCGCCTGCCTCAAGCAGGTGGGGAACCTCCATCACAAGGCGCACTGCTGCAAACAGTCGTGCTGAGCAGAGGTACGGAGCCGGAGCCGGATACCACCCCCTCCCCCCTTTCCCTGACTTTCCAGGAGGGCTAGAAAAAAGCCCCGAACTTGAAAACCTGTCCCACAGCTAGTATAAGTCCTGGTTTTAGGATGTTTCGCCAATTTGTTCGTAAGATTTTAGGCCTCCAGTGTTTTGAAAAGTAGCTCTCTGGAAGGCCAGGGTTCGCTCAGTGTCGAAACGCCGACTTAGACAACGTTCACCGTGTCCTCCGCGCACCCCTCCGGGGCGCCCGAGCAGCCGGAGGGTTCCAAAGGGTTTTTGGGGGGGGAGGGGGTGTTCCAGAGAGCCCCCCCATGGGGGCCTCGGAACCTCGTGTGGAACTAGCGGGTGCGAAGCGCCTGGGGGACCCCTCCTGGACAACCCCCCCCCCCCCCGAAAAGCCCCCTTTGGAATCCTCGGGGAGCAGGAGCTCCCCATCCTCCAAAAACCCACCTCCTCCAAAAACCCCTCCTGGAAAACCCCTCCTGGAAAACCCCTGCCTCCAAAAACCCCTCCTCCTCCAAAATCCCCCTCCTCCCAAAACCCCATCCTCCAAAAAACCCCTATGGAAAACCCCCTCCCCCGAACAAAAACCCTTTTGGAACCCTTTTGGAACCCCCCGGGCAGCAGGAGCTCCGCGCGCCGCCGCCGCGGCCGCGGGCGCGCTGCTCGGCTGGCGCCGCCCTGGCGGCCGCCGCCCTGGCGGCCGCCGCCCCGGCGCTGCGCCGGGCGGCCGCCGCGGCGCGCCGCCTCGGCCCTGGGCGGAGCACGCAGGCCGAGGCCCGGGAGGGAGGGAGGAGGGAGGGAGGGAGGAGGGAGGGAGGAGGGAGGAGGGAGGAGGGGAGGAAGGGAGGAGGAGGGAGGAGGAGGGAGGAGGAGGAGGGAGGGAGGAGGGAGGAGGGAGGAGGAGGAGGGGGAGGGGGAGGAGGGAGGGAGGAGGGAGGAGGGAGGGAGGAGGGAGGGAGGGAGGAGGGAGGGGGCCGAGCCCCGAGGATCCGAGGGGGAGGAGGTGCAGTCGGAGCGAGGTGTCAGATCGGGGTCGGGGCGTTTTCGTGGTTTCCTGGCGGCTTTCCGCCCTCGGGATGCGTTCCAGCGGCTGGGCTTCGCCGAGAGGTTGCCGGGGGTGCCTGGATCGTCCCGAACGGCCCCCGGAGAGCGAGTTCTGACCCCCCAAACCGAATGCGGCGGCGCGCCTGGGGGGTGCTGTCGGACCGAGGTACAAGGCCGAGGTCAGTTCGGGGAGGGCCCCATTTTGTGATCTTCGTGTTTGCTGGACGTTCTGGTGCACCCTGGGGAGGGTACCCCCTGGGGGTTCTGCGCGTTTTGGCCCGCGGAGGGCCTCGTGTTCTCTTGAGGGGTGCTCTGCTGCCCTCTAGGGCCGGCCCGCGGGCGGAGCCGGGAGGGCCAGGCCC